GAATTATCAAAAATTAAAATCATTCCATTTTTCATGATTAAACGCGCATTTATACACACAAACATTAAAACATCATCAGTATATGGAATTAAATTACCCCAAATAAAAAACGATTTTGTACAATTTTCTTGTATGCCGTAATTCATGAAGTATGTAATAATAAATCCGTTTTCCAATTTGAAAAATAATAAAACTGAGTTTTCTTCTGAAAAAACATCCAGTAAGACATTGGCAAGGTAATTTTTTGGTTTTGAAATACGCTCTTTTTCAACACTGACTCATTGGAAATCCCGTACTGCGAACAATGTTGACAAATTGGGCTAGGTCTTAATAACACTCTGATGTACTGTCAGTGCGACTACGTAGCAAACGATTATGGCAACACTGTTTCAATTTTACAGAAACAATTGCGAACTGTCAACAAAAAACCATATCATTTAGTTACAGTGCAAATCAATTTTTCTAACTTGTTCTTCGTCTCACCAGATACCATTTTCAAGCGAATCTTATTCCAGAACAACAATTCAAATACGAAAATAGCTTCATTTTATCGATTGTCGTTGGATGTACGGTGGAACGTGAATGGAAATATAATGAAATTACCGTATGACATAAGCATATTTGGAATAAATCAATTTGTGTTTTGAGATTTCGAATCGCATTGAAAATGGATACTGCACCAAGTCAGGACGGTGACAATGTTATTGGTATGTATCAAATCACATGATGAAAATAAAATAATCCAATTGATTTGATGTGACTGTTGGATTTTCAGGAGAGTTACAGAAAAAATTGTCAGCCGTTGAAACTGACAACAAAAACATACGGGACGAATTTAATATGCAAAGAGCAAAGTTGAAAGAGCTATTTTTGCAAAAAGAAGGTGATTTATTTGCAATTTGAGAATATCTTGTACTTATTTGGTCGCAAATTATCAAATTAGCTTGAAAAATATGTAAATTATTGATTTGTTTGATGTCCATAGGCGAGTGCAAACGGTTGAGTGAACAATTGGCCGATTTACGCAAGGAATTGAATGAAACCAAAAGTCAAGTTGTGATCGCCGAATACAAACGAGAAACAGACATCAAAAACCAAGAACGAAAAGCACATGAAGAAATATCATCTTTGCAACATTTAGTTCATGGTAATTTCTTTTAAATCTTTCTATTCATGAATAGGTAAAACAAAAAACTTTTTATGTCGTGTACAGAAACTGTTGAAGAGTCAAGTTTTTTGAAGTCGGAAATCGATCGATTGACCGCCGAAAATGAACGACTTCGAGCTGAAATAGTTCATTCACAATCATCAGCATCACCACAGGTACATAATTTTTCTCAGTTATACCGTAGTAATGCTTGAGCAGTGTTCGTGAGCATAGTTAGATTTAATTTTTAGATTTGAGCGTTACTTTGTGGCTTTATTTTGAATTATGTATTATTTTTTCTCGCTTTTTCCACAAAACTATATTTACAGCCACACGAATCACAATCAAGCACACCAAGTTTTGCACCAGTTTTAAGTCATGTTAAGAAAACGTTAGTTAGAAAATTAGGCGGCGATTCGTCATCATCGACCGAAAATCTAGAGGATTCCATGCGGAAGGTAACAAAATATGTACGTAATCGTAAACGTGGCAGCCATGCATTGTTTTTCATTTGATTTTATGATTTATTGTCATCGATATTTGTGGCTTTCTATGTGTATGTGATCTTTAGTTTTGCATTTGGTTCATTGATATCGCTTAAAATGTATCATTTTCATTATTAAAACATGTCAAAAACTGAATGTATCAATCACACACACTCACGCACATTCGCACATACAAAGCTTCTTTGTTGATGTATCAGAGCGGATCGAATCAGATAGTTCCAAGCTGATTCGACTGTGTATAGTGAGAGGCATCTTTTGGTAATCTATTAAGTTGGTTATTTAGGCACAAGAAGATGCTGAAGTATTGCGATCACTAGTGATTCCATTGGAAGGTGAGATCAAGGCGTTAAAAGAAAAGCTACGAAGTGCTGACGAAGAGATTCAACAGTTACGTCAAGCTTCTGGTATACAAAATGAAATCCCGTCGAGTTCAGCACTTGTTGGGATGCTGAATGAGAGTAAAATAAACCAAAGTGAGACAACCGCAGAACCAATAGCGGCATCAACAGCCGAAACAATTGGTGTCGATTGTCAAATGTGTAAAAATTATGAATCACAAATGGTGACTATTCAGGCTGAAAAGGATGCACTGAGCAAAGACATTGAACGTTTCAACGAAGAACTAGCAAAAGAAGCGGCTTTGCGACACGATTTGGAAAATAAATGGCAAGAGAAACGTGAAAAGTACAATGAACAAGTTCAGCAATTGACCAAACAAGTGGATTACAATGAAAGAGAAATGTCTACACTCCAACGACATTATACTGCATTCAAAGACGAGGTGAACGAAGAGTTCTCGAAAATGACCAACGAACGCGAAATGGTACATCGTCATTTAAATACACTGCAAGACGACAATGATTTCTTGGCCGCACGTTACATGGCTTCAGCCGAAGAAATACAAAATCAACTCATCGATTTACCAGACACGGTTGAAGCACTTCAGGAGCTCATATTGCAGAGTAATCAAAGTTTGATTGAAGCACGCGTTGGATGTGAATTTGAGCAACGGAAATGTGCCACTTTTGCGGATGAAACGCAAGTATTACGCGATCAACTACAAACAGCCTGGGCCGAACGTCAGGCAAATGATAGGGATTTTACAGCAAGAATCAAAGCGTTAGAGTAGGTTCTTACGGAATATTTGATTTTTTATTTTTATTTTATATTTTATTTAAAAAAAAATTTTTTTTTTTCGTTTGCAGAACACACCTTAAGGCCCAAGAGAGTGAACGATTAAAACTACTGGATTTGAAAGACAAAAGTGAAAAGAGAGAAAATGAATGGAACAAGGAGTCGTCCGACTTGCACGGTCAACTCATTGAACTCAATCAAACAAAGGTACATTTCCTTTTTAACTCAATTTTTTCAAACCATTTTCGAAACATAATGAATCAACCGTTAATTTGACAGGAAAAACTTGAACGACAAAATTTGGAGTATAAAAATAAATTAACAGTACTACAACAGGAATTGGATAATAGCGAATATGTACAAAAAGATTTTGTTCGTTTATCACAATCGCTGCAGGTAAATGTTGTTGTTTATTTGAAATGAAAGAACTTGAATAAAACTTTTCGTTGCGAATTACGCAGATGGAATTGGAAAAAATACGAGCTGCAGACACTCAGGTGCGGAGAAAGGAATAAATAAAAAACGATTCGATAGAAAAATAAATAAAATTCGATGACTCATAAATAATTATTTAATAGGTGCGCTGGCAAGACGATGAAGATGTGGACGAGTGTCGCAGTTGCAAGGCGAATTTCACTGTTACACGAAGAAAGGTAAGCCAACAACTGTACTTGTCTGAAACTCTATCCTTTAAAATGCTATTTCTTTTGTAGCATCACTGCCGTCATTGTGGCTCAATTTACTGTGGTAAGTATCTTTTTTTTATTGTAAGATGAACGTTTTTTTTATTTTATTTTTTTCGTAAACTTAGAAAAATGCTTATCAAAAACGGTCGCATCCGGCCGAAATAACAAACCCGCTCGTGTATGTGATGTTTGCCACACGCTATTATCTAAGAACGAAGCGCCGTATTTTAGCCAGGTAACATACCTTTATTGAAAATATAACAATACGTTTGTTTTAACGTATCGGTTTTTTACGAATCGTTTACAGGCACCTCCACAATCACCTCACTAAGCAAGTATTGTTTCAGCCTCGTGCTTTAAATTTTCAATCAATTTTTTTTGACAAATTTCCAGTTTTTAAAGTTAACATTTTGTTTTCTTTCTGACATAAGATTGTAAATATAGCACGATCAAACATATTGTTGAATATTTTGTCTCCTTTTTTTCGCATTGACTATTTCGCAATTCTATATCAAGAATAAAAAATGAATAAAAATGACAAGTTTTTAAGAAACATTCCATTGAGAGTATGTGCGTTTTAATTTAATATCGTTTGCAATTTTGTGTTTTTTTTTTATTGAATATGTATAATAAATGTTACAATTATGATGATTTGCATTTGTAAATTAACTTAATAGAGCAAACATTTGTTGAACGTATGGCAGAAACACATAAAAAAAACTATCAACTATTCTTCTTGTGGTTCCTCTTCAGCGGCGTCAGTGGGTTCAGCGGTTTCCTCAGCCGCGGTGGTGTCAACCGGATCGGTTTGTTGTAGAAGGCTTCTTTCGAGTGTAAAGTCATATTCCATTTGGGCGATGCCCATTTTTGATGTGATCATTGATAAGATATCGTCAACTTGAATGCGTGTGATTTCATTTGAATTTCCTGTAGATAGTTCTGATGATAATTTAAATGGTATATCGTTCACATAATTTGAATGATGAACACTGTCTGAGTGTTGAAGTGGCGGTCGATTTGGTATTGCTGGCATCGCCGACGGATTGCCGAAATGTTGATCAAAATTTGGATATGCGCTGGCATACGGATTTGGATACAACGGATTTTGATTCGGACCTTGTTTTGGATCGACTATCACAAAATCATTGCTACTTGCGCTTGGTATTGCATCGGATTCGGGCGATGATGATGGACTTGGTTTCTTTGTTTTGAAAAACGAAAACATTTTTCTCACAATATTTTTTGGTTTCACTTTATTTTTTGCTAATACTGTCAATACTACAATTTTATGTTACGAATATTAATCGAATCTAATATTTTAACGCTCACGGAAGCGATTCTGATAAGCAAAAAAGGAAATTTTGCTTATGACGCCATACAATGATTCTAAATTCTGTAGACAATTTGTTTTCTATTGAAAAGTCATTCATTCATACCAATAAAAACTACGAACGGAATCTACTACGCATTTTCGTAATTATTCGATATAAATGTCAGATTTTTGACATTTTCACATTTTAAATGCATTGAGTCAGTAGGAACATTCATTTTCGACATATTCAATGATTTTAGCTAAAAAGAAAAAAGATAAACAACGGAATCAAAAAAATTATTCTCAACAAATTTAAAGAATAATAGTAAACATTTATTTTTATTCAAGTATTTTGATGTTATTGACGATTTAATTCAACCAAGTTTTATTTTTTTTATATATTTTGTTGATTCGAAACAATCAGAAACAGATCTGTTCCAAAATAAAATAATAAACAACAAGGATTTTCTTTCCCTTCGTCAACTACGATATATCCAGCGTATATTCATCGTTTTTTAAAAATGCGATTTCATTCATAAGAATTGATTCACTTTACTTGAATAAATCTCCATTCGGTTTGTTTCATTGTCCATTTCGTTCGCAAATATACACGTTCCTTGACGTAGATTGTGACTTTTCGTGCGTTCACCAAACTGCTTCGTTCTTTGTTCAATGCCATCACATCAAGTTCATCGTTATTAAGACAAAAAACTAAGATTTTATTGAGTGTGGCAATGCGACGAACGAAGATCGAATTATGATTGTTAGTTGCTGCTACGATTTCAATGCGCGTGAGGCTCGTCAAGTTGGTCAATGAAGCTTCCAAGTCCAATATAATTGATAAATCACTAATGTACAACTCTTCCAAATCAGTAAAACTAGATAATGAAATCTTTGAATGATGATAAGGTATGTACAGTTTTGTTAGCTTTTGTAAATCCCTGAATGGGTTTCTTCGTTTGAATATGTATGTACTTTGAAAATAGATATGAAGACGTTTATATAAACCACATTTATAAAGAGATTTCAATATTGAAAGTTCTTTATGTTTTATCTTTTCTTTGAATGAAATGGCCAGCACATCAAGTCCAGATAGTTCATCAAATGCCCCTTCCACTTCTAACAAACGTAGATTTTCGAATTCTGTTGCGAATGTTTGAATTTGTTGATTTCGTTGGAAAAACACTTTCAACTCATTCGGGTGAAGTTTCCCGTAACAATCACAATATTTAAAATATTTGAGTTCTGGATATTCTTGCTGCATCCAGTTATTATTAAAACCTGCATCTTTTGATAAATATTCGATGCTTAAGCTTGTCATCTTCTTACAAAATCTTAAAACATTTTCATAGATATCACCATCGAGTTGATGAATATTTTTAAATGTCACATGCTCAACAATGTTTAGGATTTGTTGAATGCGTCCGAATCCATAGTTTTCACATGCTTTCCATGCATCGGTATAAAATTCAATATGACGCAGTGATTGCATTACAGTTAAATCGAAGGTAATGTCCTGGAAAATTCTCAGATTTTTTATGTATTTGGGTAAATGGTTTATTGAATACCCATCAGTAGTCATGAAGGTGTCAAAACGTTTTGTGACTCCCAAAGTCGGATAAGTTTCTTTTAAACAATGACCTGCGATTCGTTCCAATCGTTTGCATGTTTGAGCAATCCTATCTAAATCCTCTAGTGACAAATAATCGAAAAGTTCTTCAAAGCAATCGACATTCAATTTGAAAATATCTGGTAATGATTCAATATCGGCAGCAGTGGCAGCAGCAATTTGATTTTGGTTATCTTTTTTGTTTCCATTGTTTTCGTTATTTTTAACACTCTGGCTTCTTCTTATGGCACTTGATCCGCTTGCATCACTTGATGTTTCTTGATCCATGGTTGTGGCAGCTAAATGTAACAATCGTTATGATTGAAATGAACAAGATCTCCATATATGTTGATAAATCTTATCGTAAAAGTTCACTGCGCAGTTAATTTGACATTGATTCAAATTTACATCAATAACATTCACTCTGAAACCGTATATTCGTACCAATAAAAACTACGAACGGAATCTACTACGCGTTCTCGAAGTCATTCAATACGAAAACGATGACAAACTGTCAGACAAAATTTTGACACTAGCACACAATTTGATTGAATAATAGAAAATTTTCCACACGAACATCGTGATGTCTTTGCCGCAGTAAAAATAAAAAATTAACCTTTTAAACCTTTTCTTAATTTTTTTAAATTGTTCAATTAGTTTTTGGTGGAGTCAATGGCCATTGCGATTCGGCACACATTGAAGACACTTCGTACGATTCGATATCAAAGTGTTTTCCAAAGAAATATCAGCATGTCAGCCAAATTACGTGCAGAGGAAGCAATTGAAGAGTTGAAAACGAAAAACCCATACTTTGAAAAGTATGCGGGTAAAATTGCAGCACTTCAACAAACCTCGCCCGATGAGTTTTTAAATCGTTTGGAAAGTGTTGAGAAACAAAAGAAACCACAAAAGAAAACGGAAAAAGAGCGGTAAATTTTTTACTTGAATTTGTGATTACATTTTATAACGGTGAGATTTCGTTTTAGTAATTACTCGGAATTGTTGCGGCCCAAGCCGTCAATCGGTGGAGTTGCGACTGGTGAAGTTCCTTTCAAGAAGTTGGACGATATCATGAAAATGGACTTACTTCAGGATAAAACAGCCGACGAAATCAAAGACATTTGGTTGGAATATCACAAGCAAAAAGATGTTCTTGTAGCCACAATCCCGATCGATACTTTCAATTTGTTGAGCAAACGCTCTAAGGAACATGCAATTTTCATAGTTCCATTGCCAAGAAGTCAAGGTTTTGAATTCTTTTTACTTCAGTTTGCAGGAAATACTGTTCATTTCACTCCACTTCTATGCTACCAGGTGATTACATACGTCGATTTCGTGTGCAAAAAAATCTTTATAAATATGATTGTTTTTGTTGCTCGTTAAAAATAGGTTCACAAGGAAAATGCACCGGAGTGCTTGAATATTGTTCATTACACCGAGTTTTCGGAAAAATTGGGAATCGTTTTAATGCGCGGAGAATATGATAAAAACGTTATAAGTGCACAAGAGGCACTATGTTTGGTGAATCAATTGCAGTTGTACTATTCGCAGAATAATCAATCAAAATTGGATTTGTTGAAGAAATTCACACACGAACCGGATAGCTTCAAGCACATGGATGTTATTAAAGAATTAGAAAATTTAACAATTAAATAAAGATTGAAAGCAAAGCATCAAGCATATTTGTGTCTGTCACTTTTCTGTTATTGTGTGTTGTTGTTGTTGTTTTAAATATAAAAGGCGGTAGAATAAAACGTTTTTGTTCATTTACATTCATTCATATCACTTTGATTGATTCGTACCAGCACATAGATAGCTGTGCTCGCACACTTTTACACATGTGCGCAAGCATGTCATATACATATCATTGGATAAACAAAAAACCGATTGAGGCAACGTTGGTTTTCAGTTCAGTGACTGAATTCGTGTTATGTGTGCGCTATTTGCACGTGTGCAATTGTGTTGGAGCGTTGAAACTGCTCAAACTAGTATGCGAGTGATGTGTGTTTTGTTCACTCAGTGGTTCTGGTTGCGCTCCCATACAAAAAACAATATATAGTATTTATACAAACAAGTATTTTGAGAGCGACAAATTCTTTTACGAAACTTTTTTTTTCTCTCTCCTTGCTCAGCTCGATGAAGTGAAATAGTAAAACGTATTTTTTCTCTTCTGTCGGGCAGACTTTTTGGTGTTTTGTTTTGTTTGTTGCCAATCAATTTTGTTTCACCTGAATACTTTTGTTTGACGTTCCGGAATGTGTGTATACATTTAAATTGTGAAAACATGTAAAAATGTCAAAAGAAAAAAAATATAATCGACTGAAATGTGTCAGATAGACAATCCGTAATTTCAATTCAGATGCTGTTTGTGTTTTCATTTCCATCAATTTTGATAATTTTTTTTTTCACTTTTCAACCCCATTTTCTAATTAGAATCAAATAAAACGCAGTACGGTTGATGTGAGATTAAAAAAATAAGTGGTGCTCTCGAATAAAAGTATATTGATCGTTTTCAAATATTCTCCCACGACAACATTTTCAATATTCCATATACGGGTCTTGTTTGCAATAACAACATATATATACAATTTTAATAAACAATCAATAAAAGAATCAACGACATCAAATACAATTTGTTGCCTTTTTTATGAACTAAGTGTGTAGAACTGTTTTATTTTTTACGGTGCCGCAAAAACGGTTACCATTGACACTATCATTGATTATATCTTATACATTCACGTGTTCCAATCAAATAAAGTAGTTCAAAAAAAATTAGTTTTATAACTAGTATTGTCCAAACATACTATATGAACAATGCCGAATCAAATCGGATGAAAACAGTTTTAAGTGCCTCAGAAAGGTGAGTAACCGAAGTATTGTCATTTTGATTCAAACAAACATGGTCATGGAGTGTGTGTAAACAATTTAAATCAAAATCAAACAAATTATACACCACATTTAAGAATATAAATAATTTAACGTTGATCACAGCAATAAAGATGAATTGATTACGAATTTTGAATGAATTTTTGTTTTTCGATCATATGCCGATGAAAACAGTTTGCATGCTTAGAATAATTGAGCATGAGTTATAACGTGTTGCGTAAATAGCAGCCCTTTTACAAATATCTTCATTCAAAACGTGCTCCAAGATCATAAAAATACATCGGATGAAATTTCAATGATCGATGTAGAGATATTATCTAGAAATTTCGAAAAAAAACACATTTAATTTCTAAATTTTGCAAAGAAAATCTATTCAAATTAATTTCTTTTTTTGAGAGATTTTTTCGAATTAAATTTTGTTGTCTCTTTTTTCTATCATTCAGCGCAACAAAATCAAAATCATCAAAAAACCAATAAACAGTATAGATAACCGGAGTGTAAACAATGACGAGTCCAAGCAAACGAACTCCCACCAAAGGTGAGTAGAATCTCCAAATAATCAAAATTCGGTAGCAAAAAATAATAATAAAAAAATCAATCAAATTAAAAGGTTTTACGTTCAAAACCGAAACAATTTCATTTTAAATTAATCGATACTTTTGTTCCGTTAAAACATGCATTATCCCAATCAATTAGTCGATTTTTTTGTATTGTACACGCTTATTTCACATTAATTACGCCGTGTGCAAATTGGAGCGTGCCGTCTGAATTCAAATGATTCGAATGCTATAAAATGAATAAAATATACATATTTTTTTTTTCATTTTAAATATTCACTGTGGGAGACATAAAGCGCAACTTGGCTTTTACAAATTCGATTACACTGGGTCATGTAATTCTATAGCCACAGCCATCAAAATAAAAATATGAATGTGAACATAACGAATAATCATAAAATTTAACGAGAATTGAAACATTAAAAAAAGTCTGTGGCAAAAACATTATTGTGTGATCAGGACATCGCTTGTACTATATTGCTTTTCAGACTTTTGGTTAACATAATTTGATTGCGATATTATCGATTTTTTTTTTGCGTTTTCGGTAATATGTTCCGGCGTCCAAATAGAATATTACGAATGTTTTTTATTGCTTTCTCTCCGTTCGCTTTCGGTCAGACCTGTGGTAAATTTCATGGTCATCGAAGCGTTGGTTTTACATATTTCAAATGTTCACCAATCCTTTTCCCCATTGTATTTGTATTTTTTTCCACCTAATACTATTTTCTACAACTACATGTGCAAAAATTCACATGTGTCAAACTACGTTCAAATGTACCTTAAATTAATGCGCATCTAAAAATAGTTTGATTGAATTTACAATCATGAAATGTAAGCTTCGTAGTTTTTGGATTTAGTTTTTGCGCTTTTCACACTTTTTATGGACATTGAAATCTCACCTTGATCTCATCTATTTTTACCATTCTTGGATACTTTATTCTATCGCCACCGTATATACTAGTTGCTAATGTATTTACACATTATAAACAACACAATATAACTAAGAATTTAGTGAAATATTAAATTCGGTGAATATATAAAATTATTCGACACTTATATTCGTTTCGTATTATAATTATTTGCATATGAATGCAAATGAATATTTTATCGATGTAATGAAGCGCCAAAATGAAGCATTTATCGACATTTGTGTCAGAATTCAGAAAAAAAACAAAAATGTCAAATCCATCATAAAATGAGCGATGAGTGAAGTACAACCACAAATAAAATAAAATAAAAGTTGTGCAATAAGCGCCGCATCATTGTACTTAAATGACGTGCACGAGCTCAAACCATAATTTAACAATGTGATTTTATGATATAAACATTAGGCTAATTTTACAAGTTTTACAATGCTACAACGTAATTTTGTTGCCTACTTGATGCGTTTCGCTTCTTTTTCGTGTACACAAAATTGCAACAAAGTCTTTGATGTCGAATATCGACACAAAATAAATATTCATATTTTATTGTCCAGAAAATTGAAGCTGAATGACGCACTTGTGTGAGAAAGACTACGGTACAATGTTTTTAAATAAAAAAAAAATTCACAACAAAAAACCCATAAGTTTGCATGTTTATACGAGTTCTTCTTTTAATGAGTACAATGTTTTGTTTATTTTCGACTCATTTTTTTTTCGTTAAATCTTCGTCCGTCTCCAGCACGTGGTGGATATAGATATGATTGAATCAAAATTTCTCAACTTACTTTACTATTTTCAAATGAGCACATCAATTATTCAGATACCCTTTTTTACCAACAACTTAACTATTTGAAGCCAAATTACTACTTTGCATGGTGACCCAACACAACAAAATTTGATTTGAATTTGAAAATGTGAGAATAATTAATGGACTTTTAAATTACTTTGTTCCGTTTTCAGTTTTTATTTATCTTTTTTATTCATTCAAAAGCATATTCGAAACACCGATATCGAAATGGTGAATAACATAAAATAATGAGATTGTCAATTTGTATCATGTGTGTATTACACGAAACTCCGCATCCAATAGCAGTGTGATTCAATACGTTTGCCATCAAAATCATTGTCAACTGGTCAATCTCAGTACCTATACACGTCTGTTCTTAAACCGAAAAGACATTTTATATTATTGATGAAGGGACAGAATGTCGACGCGAAATCAAAATCGATACCAATCACATATCGTTCATTGTAAAACATTGTAGCAATATTGAAGAATAAAATATGTATTGGATCGCTATAGTAACACTTACATTTTATAAAATAAATTTCTTTACAATGTTGCGTTGATTGTGAATCAAATTTCTCGCTGCGTGATGAAGCTCATGGAATTCCATCTGCTTCATTTTCAATATCTGCTTCTCTTCTGCAATATGTATTTAGAAAAAAAAGGTTGGAATTTCATGTCTATACAGAGTTGGCACACGTACGGTGAAGCTTTTCGATGAAATATGTGCGCCAAATTTGATGTTGTCGTTGGATGGAAAATCTCTTCAAGCTCTTTTTCATTGTCGGATGAACGGTGGTGTGCGGTTCTGTCGCGCTCTCTTTACCCACCGCATGTATGACGTTATGATAAAAGGATAATAACCATGTCTTGTGTGCGCCTGAAACACAATTCGGTATACACTATACACTAGCTTGTTCGCTGGTATTTGATGTATAGACAAGACAAAGACCTTGAGAATTATATACTCGTTCACATTCCATATGACATGTATTATGTATTGTGTACATCACATTATATGGTCGAATCTATTTACAATACACATAATTATAAAGTAACCCTCTCTTCTTCGTTGTCCCGATGATGGCAAAATGTGGAGAACAGTGTTGACTACAACGGGCATAAAAATTGGAACATCAACATGGACTCAAACAAGAGCGGCGAACGGTATGGCCCGTGCGTTCATGTGTTTGTGTATTTCCCCGTTGTTGGTGGTGGTAATGGTTGTTGTTTTTTCATCTCTATTCGATGCGAGTAAATAAAAGTGTATTATGTCGTTCTAAAAATATCCACAAATCGTCGATCGTGTTTATTGGGTGGTTGTGGGTTGCACGTTTTTCCTCGAAAGGAGTTTGAGCAGGGAGTCGTGATTGTTGCGTGACTCTGGCAATGACGATGAAGAACGAAGAAACGGTGAACAACAACCACGGTAAAGAAATGATTCAAACTATCATTATGATAGTTAATAGTCGGTATTTTTTTATACATATTATGTGAAGCGCTTCTTTCTTATGTAAATTAAACAGCAA